AAAAACTATTTTTGACAGTATGTATTTTTTTAAAGCAAAATATTTATTGGTACATTTTAGATATACATAACGATAACACTCGGGAGGGGAATGTAGCTCAGTGGCACAGCACCTGCCTGGCAAGCACAAGGCCCTGAATTTGATTCCTGGTACCAAAAAACAAAACAAAACAAAAGCACTCATTATAAGGAATTTCCACCTGTACATGATATATCCTGCCTCTTCTTTTTTCCCATCTCCCCAATCCCCTCCCCTACCTATTTACAAAAGCTTTGTTTCTATTTTTTCCTTCTGTTTGCACTTTTTTTCTTGTCTCTTCCTTTCTTTCCCCCTTCTCCCTTCCTTGTTCCCCTTCCCATTTGCCAAGATCTATTATACATTTTAGTCCTTATTTCCATTTTCAGTATTTAAACATGTCTGATTTATTATTAAATTTTTAACACAGAAACATTGAAAGGATAGCCAGTTGTATTGGTTCATGCCTGCAATCCCAGTATTTGGGAGGTTGAGATGGGAGGATCATGGGTACAAGGTCAGCTTGGGCCTCATAGTGAGACCCTGTCTCAATAATAAATAACCAAAAAAGAGGGCTGGGGATGTAGCTCAGTGGTTCTGCTGCCTGCCTTGCAAGCACAAGGACCCAAGTTTGATCCCCAGTACCAAAAAAAAAAATAAATAAATAACCAAAAAAAAAAAAAAAGGCTAAGAATTCACACCTGGGTTCAATGGCAGAGCTTGTGCTTTGCATATGACAGTATCTTAGTTTAATACTTAGCAACACACACAAATAATAATAATAATAATAATAGACACTTAAGAAATGTCAAGCCCTGTACTTGGTGTCCAGAATACAGTTAAACTGGGTGTGGTGGTGCATATCTATAATCCTAGCCCTGGGGGCGGGGGGTAAGGCAGGAGGATTGCTGCAAGTTTGAGGCCAGCCTGCACTACATAGGGAGACCCTGTCTCAAAAAACCAAAAGAAAAAAAATAGTTAAATAAGACTTGATGATCACTAACCAGAAAGCTGGAAGAATGCTCTTGCCCTTCCATTTCAGAGGTCAGTTCCTTTTATGCTTTGTTTTGAGACAGGGTCTTTTGTTTGAGACAGTAGTCCAGGCTGGCCTCAAACTCACAGTGATCCTCCTTGCCTTAGCCTGCCAAGAGTGCTGGGATTACAGGCCTGCACCACCACAACCAGCCTTGTTTTTTTTTGCTTTTGTTTATTTTGTACCAGAGATTGAACTCAGGACCTTGTGCTTGTGGTTTTGTTGTTTTTTAATATAATAAGTAGCTACATTTATTGAAGATCATGGGATGGTAACAGGAACAAGGAGAAGGGTAGAGGGAAAAGAGGGTGAAGGAAAAGAGGGACTCGAGGCCAAAAGGGGAACGGGACTTTAGTGCTGAGGGGAAAAAAAAGCGCCTTGTTTTGCTTTTTGAGATGGGATCTCATGTAGCCCAGGCTGGCCTCAAACTTTTGGTGATCCTCCTGCTTCAGCCTCCTGAGTGCTGGCATTACAGGTGTGCCCCACCATGCTATGTTCCCTTTATGTATTTAAATATAAATTCAGCCTAGCACAGTGGTGAATGCCTGTAATTCCACCACGTGAGAGGCTAGGATAGGAAGATTGTAAATTTAAGTTCCACCTGGGAAATTTAACAAGAATCCTGTCCCTGTCCCCTTCCCCTCAAAAGGACACAATGTTTGCTCCTGCCCTTGCCCCCATTTAGAACTGCATCCTGCCTTAATGTTTTTAGGCACTCTTTTAGTTACTTTCATTGGTACTCCCAAAACATATAACAATATTATTTATTAACTACCTGTTTTTGTCTGTTTCTGTATCAGCCAATAGAAATGTAAGCTTCATAATGGCAGGGACCAGTTAAATAAGTTCGATCTTATTTATCACTAGATCCCTGGCACAGAGTCTGTCACATCAGAGTCATTCATATATTTGTTTAACAAAAGAATGAAGGAACAAATGGCTCTTTCTGAAGAGTATCTCTGAGGCTGGGAGGAGAAGTGAACAAATTATCTGCACTGTAGTATTGAGGATGTTTTGCTATGCAGATTGCTGTGGGCATATTAGACTAGGAACATTACTGTCTTAGGAACATTACTGTGGGTAAAAGCAGTCATGGTGAAGTGGGATGGTTGAGGTTATTTCTTGGTTCTGGCATTTAGTAACTAAGTGACTTTGGGTAACTTGTCTTTTTTTTTTTTGGTACCGGGGATCAAACTCGGGTCCTTGCACTTTGGAGGCAGGCGGCAGAACCACTGAGCTAAATCCCCAGCCCTGGTAACTTGTAACCTCTTTAAGCCTTACCTTACTCAGTAAAATGAATATTTTACTAATGACCATGTACTGGATTTCTGTGAGAATTAAATAAGATGCTTCATATAAAGAACCTGTAGTGGGCCGGGGATTTAGCTCAGTGGCATTGTGCCTGGCTTCCAGGCCCAAGGTTCTGAGTTTGATCCCTGGTAACAAAAAAAAAGAACCTGTAGTAGTGATTCTCAGTAAATATTAGCTATTGTTATTAGAGGAAAGCTGTAGCTTCTAAGGTCAGTATACAAGCCTTTTTAAATTTTTTCATACCAGGGATCAAACTCGGGACCTTGCACTTTCGAGGCAGACACCAGAACCACTGAGCTAAATTCTCAGCCCAGTGTACAAGTCTTGTTAACATGTTAAACAAGAAAAATGTTGGACTTTTTAAAAAGACACATTCTTTCAAGTCACAGTTAACCTTCCTGAAGCAAATACCTCTCCTGTTACCTTACCAAGATTTCCATATCTTTTCTCTGGAATAAAAAGATAATGGATTCCTTAGAGGTATCCTAGTTGACTAGTAAGAGGCAGACTTACAGAGTAGGAATTATTTTCTTTACCTCAAGAGGGCACCAATCAGTCAAGTCAATCTCTACCTGCCATTAATGAAGCAATGAACCATGTGGAAAGCTTTAGGAAATTGTTTCTATTCTTCCAACAAGTATGTTTTGAGGCTCTGATATGTGACAAACATTGGAGTAGCTGGCATATAGTTATCTAACGTATAGTCTTGAACACCTACTATGTGCCTGAGAGAGCCAACATAAGAGTGGAGGGTCAGGTTGAATTTGCTGTTTTGTGATATTGATTCTTTTCTTGCTCTTGGCCCCCTCTCTAAGAACAATAACACAGTGTCTACTTTGTGTCAAACAGTGTGCTGGTTGCTGAGATACAAGGATGAATAAGACAAAGTTGGAACTTACTAATAATGTCTACTGACTAGCTAAGTAGGCATGAGCTAGTTCTGTGGAATGGCAATCACTGTGTACAAAACTCACCTACACTAAGCTGCCAGCCTTCCAGCTTAGGGTTATGTCCACAGTGGATACTTAAAATGAGTTTGTAAGTTGATTTGAGACCAGGGAACAGCCCTGGTCTGAGTGGCAGGTGTATGTTCCAGTGGGTTTGGTTAGAGCTCTATCATCCTACAGGGTAGGGTGGAGCTGTGATGAGTTTACATGGATTTTTTCAATTTGGTTTTTTTGAGACAGGGACTTGCTATGTAGCCCAGGGTGGCCTCCAACTGACAACGATCCTCCTGCCTCAGTGCTAGGATTGCACCAGGATTGCTAGGATTCCCAAGTGCTAGGATTGCAGGTGTGCGCCACCATGCCCAGCTCCGATGAAATGCTTTGAAGATGAATGTTTTGCCTATTTGTCTACTCACAGCTTTGCTATTAAAGGTGTCAACATCACTGCCCATATTTCCAGGTCAGCAATTTTCTTGTCCTTAAATTAAGTGATGGAGGAAGGGAAGCCAGAATTAGGCATATATTAGCATTTTGAGAGAAGGGGCTGAACTGATTAGGATGCTGCCCCTCCCCAAGGGCTACTCTAATTCCAGAGGAGTTTGATTTCAAGATCTAGACAGGAAGTCCAAAGAATGATCCTTTAAAGTACTGAGACCTCATTTATGGAGGAAAAAAAAAGTAGAGACTTTTTTTGAGAGACTTCTTAACTGTAGATTGTACACAGTGACTGCCTTCCAGACAGTACACCACAGAAAGGAGGAAAGTAAGATAGGTGTGGTGGCTCAGGCTTGTAATCCCAGCTTTTGGAAGGCTGAGGCAGGAGGATCATCAGGAATTCAAGGCCAGCCTGGGCTACCTAGTGAGTTCAAGGCCAGCCAAACTGTATAGTGAGACCCTGTCACAAAAACTTTTTTTTAAAAAAGGAAGAAGGTAGAAAAGGGAGCAGGAAGAGTAACTTTACAGTGGAGTGATCTAACATATTACATCAGTCCAGTGGTTGAGGGCAACATCAACAGTGCTGAGTCATGTTGCTTTATTGTGTGCTTTTGATATGTGATGAAAATGGCATTTTACCTCTATGATCTTTAACCTAAAAAAACCTATAACTCTAGTTTGTTTGTTTGTTTGTTTGTTTTTGGTACTGGGGATTGAACTCAGGACCTTGCACTTGCAAGGCAGGTGGTGGAACCACTAAGCTAAATTCCTGGCCCCTATAACTCTAGATTTTAAAAAAGTTTTTTATTAGTACATGTTTGCAGTACATAATAATTACATTCATTGCGAGGAGTTGGTACATGTACATAACCCCAGTCTTATGAGAAAAAAATCACAAATCCCAACTGATGGACTGTCTACAAAATATTTGAACAATACTCCTCTCAATTATCAAGGTCATCAAAAATAAGAGTTAGGGGCCAGACATAGTGGCAACACGTCAGTAATCCCAGCACTTGGGAGGCTGAGGCTGGAGGATTGCTGTGGGTTCAAGGCCAGCCTACACTACACAGCTGGACCCCCTCCATCCCCTAAAAAAGAGAGAACCATAGAGGGAAGAAAGAAAGAAAGAAAGAAAGAGAAAAAAGGAAGAGGGGGGAGAGAGAGAGAGAGAGAGGGAGAGGAAGAAGATTAAATGGTAGCTTGGACAGAATCCTGGAATAGAAAAAGGACACTGGTTAAAAACTGCCGGGAGTGGTGGCACACACCTGTAATCCCAGCACTCCCAGAGGAGGCTGAGGCAGGAGGACTGCTGGGAGTTTGAGGCCAGCCTTTGCTACATACTGAGTTCAAGGCCAGCCTGAACTACATAGCAGACCATCTCAAAACAACAACAAAAAAACCCTAAGGGAATTTGAATAAAACATGAACTTCAATTAAAAGTAATGTATTGCCAAGCATGTTGGTGCATGCATGCAATCCCAGCACTCAGGGAGGCTGAAGCAAGAGGATCATGAGTTTGAGGCCAACCTGGGCAATTTAGGGGACCCCATCTCAAACACAAAACAATAAAAAAGCAAACCAAAATAAAAACTTGGTATTCAGATTGCAACTAGGCCTAATTAATTTTGTGGTACTAGGGATTGAATGAAGGGCCTCACACACATTCCCAGCCCTTGTTTATTTTTTATTTCAAGATTGGGTTGGGCCAGGGATTTAGCTCTGGTTCCGCTGTAGCCTGCCTCGAAAGCCCAAGGTCCCAAGTGCCATCCCCGGTACAAAAAAAAAAAAAAAAAATAGATTGGGTTTTGACAAATAGTAAAGCTGCCCAGGCTAGACTCAGATTTGGGATCCCCCTTTCTCAGCATCCCAGAGTGTTGGGATTACAAGCGTGTACCATCATGCCTTTTATTTCCTTAAAATTTCTATTTATGGATCGTTTACCATGTACCAGTCACTCTGCTGGATGATGTCATTTAAACATTATAATTGCTTGTTAGGTATAATTAACCTTTTACAGAAGCCGATGAATCAGGAAAAAGTAAATGTACCGTGTTGCCAGAGTTGGAACTAAGATCTTTCTCATTCCAAAATTGTGTGTAAATCCTCACAATATCTTGGCTTTAGTAGGATAAGGTTTAGGGTTTAGGCAGTCATAAGACATGCCTTCTTGAGAGAAAAAGAGTCTTCTCAGTCACGGGGGCTGAAGATTGTCTCCACATCTCACTTCAGTCAGGGTTACTGCAAAAGTCCCTCAGAGAGGTTGGACAGTCAGGCTGGAACAACCTATAGGAGGTCAAAGTCCAACCACTGTACCTTATTTTACAAAAGAGTAAACTGAGATGTAGCCAGAGCACTCGGCCCAAATCACACTGACAAAAGCCAGGAATCCAAGTTCAGTCGGTAATTATTTTTTCTTTTTCTGTGTGTGGTACTTTTCTTTTTTTCCTTGTTACCGGGGATCGAACTCTGATCCTTGCGCTTTCGAGGCAGGCAGCGGAACCACTGAGCTAAATTCCCGGCCCTGTGTGGTTCTTTTCTTGTGTGGCCTTCGCATAGAGCTACCTCTCAGCCTTTTTTAAAAAAAAAAAAATATCAGCCCTTTTTATTATTTATTTATTTAGGTACTGGGGATCGAACTCCGGTCCTTGTGCCTGCGAGGCGGCGGAACCACTGAGCTAAATCCTCGGGCCCCCTTTTTATTTTTTGAGTCTTGCCAAATCGCTCAATTGCCCAAACTGGGCTCCATCCAAGTGCTGGGATTACAGGCGTGTGCTACCACGCTGAGTTGGTAATTATTTCTTACTCTTTCCTCCGAACTTCCTCTTTGTAGTTAAGGTGGGAAGCAAGGGCTGGCCTATTTGCCTTCCTCAGTTCTTCCTTTGGGAAACTGTCCCCCCACTCTGGCCTCCGTGGTTGACTTGCCCAGGGACACACTGGCCAGGGACCAGGGTCTGCCACAGAGATGTAGGAAGGCCTGGTTCCACCGTTAAGACCCACATTCTCAGCCGCCCCCCCGCACAAGACTCTTGCTATGTAGTCTAGCCGGTCCTTGAACTCACTATGTAGCCCAGACTGGCCTCGAATTTGCAGCGATCCTCCCGCTTCAGCCTCCCAAGTGCTAGGATTACAGGCATGAGCTACCATTTCCGGCTCTCAGCACTTCGTAATCAAGCACCTCAAACGTGGACAGCAGGCTGGGTGTCACAGGGAGGGGACCGTAAAGGACTAGAGCTCGCCCTAGGGTAGCTGCGGGGGCCGGTGGATACATATATGGGGCGGGGCGTCCGCTGGAAGCTCTAAATCCTGAGTTCTCTTCCGGGGCACGCCTCTGAAGTCCCGGCGTCAAACCAACACTTCCTTCAACCAGAGGCCAAACTATTCCCAGCAGCCCGCCCTCGGCCCCCACAGCCGTTTGGCCCTTTAAGGGCGGAGGACACGCGCCTGCGTCACAAAGCGCCGCCACCGCGCTGGCTGGCGGGGAGGAGGTGGGGAAGTGGGAGGAGGAGGAGAAGGTCAGGGTGGGGCGGGCCGGGGAGGGAGGGGCGTGCGCAGGCGCATCAGGCCGCCTGAGAGCCACCCCCTTCCCGGTGCTCCCCTCCTTCCACTCTCCCTCCCTCCCGGCTTCGATCCCTCCCTCCCTCTCGACTCCGTCGCTCCCGCGGCGCGAGGCGCTCTAGCTCTCCTCTCCACCCCTCCCCCCGCGCCGCCGCCGCCGCCGCCGCGAGACCCCCGTGTGCCCCTCCCCCGCCAACCCCGCGCGCCCTCAGGCCCGGCGGCCCCCGAGGAGAACGAGAGGGCGAGCGAGCGCGGTGCTCCCGGCGGGCCCGGCCCCCTCTCCTTACCATCGCCGGCCCTCCGCCGCCTACCTCGGCTTCCATCTCTTCTCCCTACCCAAGTAGAGGCCCCCTCCGGGGGGAGGCCCCGGGCCGGGAGCGAATTCCCCGAACTCCCTCAGCCCCTCCCCCGCCCGCCCCGAGTGTGAGAAGGGCCCAGCCCGGGCCAAGTCGCGTGTGAGGAGGACCCGGGCGGGCCCACGGGCCGTCTGGGGCCTGGTTCGGCCCGCCGCGGGAGTGAAGGCAGGGGCCCAGGGCGGCCCGGCGCGAGCGGAGCGGAGCAAGGGGCCTGGTCCGGCCCGGCCGGTGCGCGAGGACTGGGGCCCCGGCCCGGCTCGGCCGCTGCCGCCGCGATGGCCCAGCAGCAGATGACCAGCTCACAGAAGGCCCTGATGCTGGAGCTGAAATCCCTTCAGGAGGAGCCGGTGGAGGGCTTCCGGATCACCCTGGTGGATGAGTCCGACCTCTACAACTGGGAGGTGGCCATCTTCGGACCCCCCAATACCCTCTACGAAGGCGGCTACTTCAAGGTACCCTCACCCCCTCCCAGACCTGGCGTCCCCGACGGGGCCTCGGCTCCCCGCCGCTTTGGGGTTGTTTTCGGGGCCGAGCGTGAGGGCGCGGGTTAGTGGAGGGGACTCCTCACCTCTCAGCCCCTTCCCCCATCCGTGGAGTCTGGAAGGCCTGGCTCACCGAGTCCCTTTTCTTTGTCACGGGGCGGGGGCGGGAGGCCAGACTACACCGGGAAATAGGAAAGACTCTCTGGCTAGGCTGGTGGCTGCCGGGTAGGGAGGGCTGTCTTTGTTTTGTTTCCCCAGACTAGGGTGTGTGGAAAGAGAGGTGGTCTGTTTCCTCGGTCGACCTCACTTCTGAGCATTCCCTGTGCAGGCTGGAACTGCCCCAGAGGACAGAGTGACCTGCACTTACTGGATTGGACTTTGCTTTTTGGGGGGTTAGGTTGGGGGAGGGGATTTAGTTTGTCATTTCTTTGCCTGCCAGTGCCCTGACACTTTGAGGGTTCGTTGGGCTCCTTGGGTAGTGGTAGTTCCAACTTTGCATTCCAGTGGGCGGTAATGAAGAGGACCCTAGAGGTGGTAATAAATAAATAAAAGGGGAGGGGCCCTTACGTGATTTTACTATTAGCAGTTGAGGGAACTTTAGCCCTCTTTCTGTCCTCATTTTCCATTTACTTCAGTCAGTGCTTCTTTCAAAATGCCCTTTGTCCTCACCCCGCCACCAAGTTTACTAACATTTTTTTCTGCATGTAAAAAACATCCACAAAGGGTGGAACATGTCTTGTCGGGAGATTGATCGCTTCCCACTTTAGGGAGACAGAAATTGAAAGCTTTTGCTCAGGTGGTTAACTCCAGCGAATAGGGTCATCTCACAGATGAAAAGTGTTGTCCGAGATGAGATGGTTTGGGTGGGATTATTCTTTAGGCAGCGACCATAGCTGTTGTTTCTATTGTTTTGTATGATTTTAGAACAGTGATTATAAAATACTACGGAATTCTGGTTTCTTTCTTTTTATTTCTTAAACTTCAAGGTAGCTAGCTAACCTGGAGTTACTGAGGTTTTTTGCCTTTGTTTTGATTTAGCATTTTCACCGCGAGGAATCCCAGGTTGAAGATTTGAATGTTTTAAATTGTAGAGGCAGAGACAGGAGAAACGAGTGCTTAGGAATCCTTTTTTTTTTTAAAAATTTCCAAAATTAAGTAAAATAGGCCAGTGAGTCAATTTTAGTTTGTTTCGAAGGGAGGGGTTATCTTGGCACATGTTTTAAATGAGTATCTTAGTCATGTAGTTGTGATGTGTATTTTTAGGACTAGCCAATTACTTAACTCTTGTTTTCTACCCTTCTAAAGGTGGAATCTTAAGTTTCAGGCCTTAAATTGGGTCAACTTTGTAGAAACTGGGATTGATAAAGGGAATGTTTAATATTCACCCTTGACAGTGAATACCTAGTAAAAGCACATTTTTATAATATTATGTAAGAGCAGTGTCCTTACCAACTGTTGTTTTGTCTGTTATGGGTATCATACACTATACTTTTTAGATGTAGATATTTAAAACTACTAAGTAAAGGTACAAATAAGGAATTTGAAAAGATATTACTGTGTCCATGTTGAGGTGCATTCTTCAGGTCAAATATAAATTTTATAGATACTGGGAATATTGCAGTATGGAATTTGTGTGCTGACTTTTCTAGCAAAGCATTGTTTAGCAAAATCTGTTAAATTTTAGTGAATAAAGTTTAATTCCCCCCAAAATATGTGGAACAACTGATGGTTGAGGCAAATGGATACTAGTGAGAATAATCTCATTCCATTGCAATTTGTTAAAAAAAAATTGAAAGAAAATAATGGGTTGCAAATTGTAATATTTTTGCCTGTTTTGAGAACTGTGGCAAAACCTGTTTGGAATTGGTAGAATGGAAAGATTTCCTGTAGTATATACTGATTTAAGGTAAAGGCTTTTAACTGAAGTCCCGCTTTATAAAAAGTCTTAATCTTCATTTCCTTGTTGTATGTATTAGGTTTCTTTTTTTGTGTGTGTGTATCGGGGATTGAACTTGGGTCCTTGGGCTTGCGAGAGGCAGGCAGTGGAACCACTGAGCTAAATCCCTGGCCCCCTGTATTAGGTTTCTTAATCTAACACTCAGAAGGGTTTTTTTTCCCTTTATTAATTTGTGCTGGGAAATTGAAATAGGATCTTGCACACTCTACCACTGAGCTATATCTGCAGCCCCTTTACCTTTAGTTCTGACATGTAAAAAAAAAAATGTATGAAAATTTTTTTTTTTTTTTTTGGGTATTGGGGATCCAACTCGGGACCTTTTGCTTGCGAGGCAGGCAGCAGAACCACTGAGCTAAATCCCCAGCCCCTTTTATGAAAATTCTTAAAACAGGGTTTACATTTTCATTTTGTGTGAGAAATTTGCTCAATTGCATCTTCTTCTATCTTGTCCCTTATTGCCTTTTATCTTATTAGAACTTTCATTAGAAAAGGCAAATTTATAGACACTTTTATTTCATTGCTTTTGTCTTAAAACAAGGCTTTTAGTGTATTCCACTACAGCTGCAGTTAAAAGTTAACACAGAGCTTTCCATACTCCTCTTCACTCATCACATATCAGTCCTTGAACATTTAATGTAATTATTTTCAAGTAAAACTCTTTTCTTGTGGGGGTTTTTTTTGGTACGGGCCGTCGAACTCGGGTCCTTCCGTTTGCGAGGCAGAAAACTCTTTTCTGTATTTGGCATATTGTTTGAAGGTAGTGGGAGTTACTCTTTTAACTTTTCACGATATGGTATAACTCCTTTAACTTTTAGATGTTAACAGGGTTCTAACTGATCTTTTTCACCATGACGTAGTTGGCAGCAGTGTATTACAACCAATCTGTGTTGGAGACAGACCTGTACTACTTTTTAGATTTTTAAAAAATTCACCCTGCTTTTGGTTATTTAATAATCTCTTGTTGGGCTGGGGATTTAGCTCAGTGGTTTTGCCGCCAGCTTCGCAAGTACAAGGACCCAAGTTCGATCCTCGGTACCAAAAAATCTCTTGTCACATTTCTTAGCTTTGGAGGGTGTGGATGTATGATGGGCAAAGGTAGTTTGCTCTGACTTTTCTGCGTATTGTAAAATCTTTTCTGGCTTTGCTTTTTAGTCCAGTTTCTTGTTCTCCTTGAAGGAACTTCTGAATTTACTTTTGGAATTTTTCCTCTAGGGGCCAGTCACTCAAATGACAAAGTAGCATGGTTTAAGATACAGAACACCTCTGAACTGAATTTCCTGTGGAACAAGTTGAAATTTTATTGTATTACTGTTGAATAAGGCAAGAGTGATTTAAGACTTTTAACAAGTTCTTTTGTTTAAAAGTAACTTTTTTTTTGAGACAGGGTCTCACTTTACAGTGCAGGCTGGCCTCAAACTCAGTGAGGTAGTCCAGACTAGCCTCAAATTTGTGGCAGTCCTCCTACCTCGGTAGGAGGTAGGCCACCATGCCCAGCTATTGTTTCTTGATAGTGATCGTAACTTTGATTGCTTTGGTATAGAGCCTGCTTGGAACTGGGCATTATTTACCCAATAGCATGATGAGAATTTAGAGGCAGAAAATGAGAGTACCTTTTTATTTTCTTGAGATCGGGTCTCATGCTGTTCAGGCTGGCTTTGAACTCACTGTGTACCTCAGGTCGATTTTGAATCCTTGGTGATCCTCCTTCCTCAGCTTCCTGAGTGCTGGAATTACAGATGTGTGCCACCATGCCTGCTTAAGAGTGCCTTTTTCATGATATGCATAACGTAAACATTTAAACAATACCAAAAGCTTAAAGTATTGTAGTTCACTCTCTGTAATTTTAAAAATTTTTTGTTTCCAATGCATGATTGATTATATTTGTTATAGGGAGTTGATACATAATGCATAACACATCTTAATTTTTTTTTCCTTTAAGTTTATTGGTACATTTTAGGTATACAGTGCAGTTACTTTCCTCATTGGGATCTTGTACCTTTACCTAATGTATCATAGTTCGTACTTTTTCCCCATACCCCTACCCTCCACCCTCTCCACCCTTCCCTATTTACAAAGACTTTGTTTCCATTTTTTCCTTTTCTCATATTTTTTTTCCCTCCTTTGCTTTCCCCTACCCCTCCCACTTCCCCTACTTTAGACCTTTTCTTCCTATTTCACATTATCTATTATACATTTTGAACCTTATTTACATTTTTCGTTTTTCATACCAGAGAAACTATTCGGTATTTACACATGTGTCCTATTTATTTCACCTAAGAGTCACATCTTAATTGTTTATACATCTCTTCTCCCTTTCTCCTCTTCCCTTCTTTTTTTTTTTTTTTTTTTTGGTACCGGGGATCGAACTCGGGTCCTTGCACTTGCAAGGCAAGCGATGGAACCACTGAGCTAAATCCCTGGCCCTCCTCTTCCCTTCTTAGTTTTTATTTTATTCAGTAATCTGCTTGAGGTGGTGAAATAATGGTGAGTTCCATTTTTAGAAACCCCCAAACTAACAGTTTAGAAAGTATTTGTCATATACAGTCCTGAATACTTCTTTGTCAAATTTAACACAGACTTGTATTAAAGAAACTTCAATTATTATGTATGTATTTTAAAATAAAAAGGATGTGCTTCATTTGTTAGGCTTCATTTATTCTAGAATAAATGATTCTTTTTTCTTTTTTTTTTGGTACCAGGGATCGAACTCTGAGTCCTTTCCCTTGTGAGGCAGGTGGTGGAACTACTGAGCTGAATCCCCGGCCCAATGATTCTATTTTCTTCCTCTCTTTCTCCTACCACAGAAACTCCAGATGTAACCTTTGTGCCTGGTGGTCCGTAAGATGATAACACACTGTATGACTGTGATTCTTTTTCTTGGAGACTTTCTTTGCAGTACTGGAGACTGAACCCAGGGCCTTCACACTGAGTTACATCCCTAGGTTTCCCCACCTATTTCCCCCGAGATGGGGTCTCGCTAAACTGCTAAATTGGCCAGGCTAGACTCAAACAT